TCCGGAAGGGGAGAGCAGAATCAAGCCAGCGTTGCCGGTGCGGAGGATTGCCCACCGGTGAGGATGGTGGGAGGGCTCATTCCTTTCTCTGCCAAGGGCTCGGCCAGGTCTCCCTGAGTCCCTCACCCTCCCCGCCTGTGAAAGGCAGGCGTTCCTCTTTACGGGCTGCCCCGTGAACATACTGAGGACTGAGGCATTTTTGGGGTGACCCGTGTTCCAGGAACTGTTCTGAGGGGGACCAGAGGTCTCCTTTGTGCTGCTGAAGAAGCCAGCTCTCAGCCTGACTTGCAGCTGCCCTGGGTGTCCTCGCCATCCTTCCCCGGCCATCGTGGATCTCTTGCTCTCGCCGGGAGGGCAGAGGGGAGCGTGCCCCTCTTGCACCCCCCACCACGGGCTGTGCATCCCGGGAGCGCACAGCCCAGGCTGGTGATGCAGCTGCACAGCTCGCGCAGGCCCCGGCTCCTGCTCTTCCTCCATCTGCTCCCAGAAGCCATCCTCGCCTGAGCTCAGCTCCTAATTTTGAACACCTCCGCCGCCCAGCACCCTCCCCTTCCCCCAGCTTGGATTTCATCCTGCATATATTTGCCACACAGCATTTAAAATAGAGCCCGGCAGCCCACGTGTGGCACTGCGCAGCCCGGCCTGGGTGCTTGGCTTGTGCTTCCGACTCTGGTTGCTGGCTCCCCTCTGCTCCTTTCTTTCTCTGAGTATGAATGGTGGGGGAAAACTCTCCTCTCCCTGTCCTGTGAGCCCCGTCCTGGGGATTACTCCATGTGTGGGCAAGAGATGGTGGCAGGAGGTTAGTAGCGGCAGCTCTGAAAGCCTGTGCATGATGGTGAATGCCTCACCTTTTCTCCATCCAGCCATTGTGTCTCTCCCACGTGCTCCGGCCAGGCATGCTCAGGATGGGGCAGCTCTGGGCTGTATCTAAGAGACCATCTTGGACCTTGGGAGAATGACCCACTGGAAAGAACAGCAGGGCATTTGATTGTCAGGCAGGTGAGGTCTCCCAGAGAAGGATCTTTGTGGTGGACAGATGTTGAAGGGTTCCCCCAAAAGATGATGGTTCTCTACAGGTGACCAGCCTGGCTCCTGCCTCACCCTGGGCAGTGGGAAGTAGGGGCAGCTGCTGGTCCTTCAGCTCCCCTGCCTGTGTAGGGCCACGGTTTGGGTTGGAGCAGGCTGGTGTGGAGCTGTGGCACCCACATGCCCGGGGTTGGGCTGCCTTGCCGTGCACGGCATAGCCAGGACTTGAAACGGAACCAGTGGGACATGGAGCACTGGTGAGCGCCAGGCGGGCTGAGGACGTGCAGTGTCTTGTCCCTGGAGGAGGTTTGTGGCTGCTACCGGTGGACCTGGCACAGTGACTTGCGCTGCTGAGCCAGAGCACGAAACCCTGGCGTCTCTGCGACCTGACTGTTCACCTCCTTTGGTGTGGAGAGGGAAGACGAGGCTGTAGGAGGGGACTCTGGTGAGAAGGGGGCTGTTCATGGCTCCATCGCTGCCTTGGTTGGGCCTTGAAGGAGACCCTGCAGGTCTTTTGCCGTGTGTAACCTGGGGAGGAGACTGCCCTGGCCCTGTGCATGCGGTGCGGTTGTGCCAAGGAAGGGGATGAACAGGCAGCAGTGTTGCCTGCGCCCTGTCCTGGCCCTCGCTGACCAGCAAAGCCCCGGCCACCCTGACCACCCTGTGCAGGTGAGCTCTGCCACGGGGCCAGCCGCCGGCTCGGTGCTCTGCCGTCCCTGTAAGTGGGTGCTGAGGCTTGGCAATGACCTACAAAAATCACTTGTGTACTCTCCAGCTCGCTGTCCCTAGTGAAAAGCAGAGCAAAATTGAACTGAAATGCGTTAATCTGGTGAGCTGACTTCTCTGACGCTCCAACTCTCCTCTCCTGAGAGCTGCCGCT